GCTACTGCTACTGCTTTTGCTACTGCTACTACAACTGATACTTCTTCTTGTACTATTTGGGACCTGGAACCTCCAAACCCTAAAGCCATAGAGATTCAGGTCATCATCCATAACGAGACTGCTGCGGGAGTCCAAGAGGGTGGTCGCACAGGGTACCGGTCTCAGAAAGACACCTTGCTGCCAGAGAGAGGTGATGGTGTCCCAAGGTAGGACGAACTCCTACACGAACCCAGTTTCAATTTCATATTCCATTTTCTTTTTGATTTGATTCTCCATTATCCTGGTCACATGATCCCTAGATATCCCACATAGCCCAAACGTCCAAGCACGACGCCTGTGTTGAATCGGTCTCTGCACGTGCGAGGTTGTGCGCCATGACGACGGCAGTTCTGTTCCTGCTCTCCCCAGCATTGGTGCCCGTGATCGAGCTTATCCCTCCAGAGGCCCCTAACCTCTAAACCCTAAAGAGTTCATGATTCAAGCTGGAGTTGATGTTTCGGGAGGCGACAGCACCTTGCCTGGTCTTGGTGGGAAGCATGATGATGGGTCCAGCCCGGCTTTCAGAGTATGCCGCAGTGTTCAGAGGCTCTTGCTTCGCAATGCCGTTGTGTTCGCTGGTTCTCTGAGGTGAGAGATATTGACTTCGGCGATCTGCGCCTGGCTTTGCCGGCCTTCCTGACAATCTGCATCACTCCCCTGGCGTGAGCTCTGCCTGGTTTGAATTCTACATGCTCTGGTCTCTGGCGGGTTGACGGCCCCTGCAGGTACTCCATCTCTGCGGGAATTTTCGTGGGCATTGCGTCTTACTACGCGCCCAAGGCTGCAATAGGCAGCTGCATGCGCATGCATTTGGCAGTATGTAGCATATCCAATTTCCAATGCATCATGCGGGTAAGGCAGATGACGCGAAAAAATGTTGAGCACGTCAGTACTTGTCCTGCACTTCCCTTTCTTTCACCTTAGTTATAATCATATTGGTATGGAATGTGCCTTGAGCTGGTTGTAACATGGCCTGCCAGGAAGTGGGAGCCAACCTCACTCTTTCCACTTGCGTTAAACACTCCTTACCCCTTACCCATGATTTTCATAGCCTTAGCGGAAGGATTGCTGCGCTCAACATTCTTTGGTTCTTATCAGATACTATAGAAGGAGGGCGGCAGAGGACTGGCCTTTCAGACCCTTGGATCTAGGTTTGAGGGTTTGGGATGGAGAACTTGCGGGTACATGGCGATTCTAGGGAAGTATGAGCATATTCAACGGCTTGACAAAAAGTAGGACTAAGTCCGGGACGTTCGCTTGCTTCTTCTGATGGTTTATGGTGTTCCATCAGCATGTTCCAATGAATTTCAGATCAATGTATGCGTTCTGTAGACCTATGCAAGGGTACCCAACCGACATGAACATCTCCGTCATGTACGGGAAGAATCCTAAAGTAATGTAGAACGGGTCGCGATATTTGAAATCCTGTTTGAGCAGTGACACGTCTACAATATGTCTCAATCATTTGATGAGCAGCAATTTCCCTAAACCCTGCAACGCCCAAATCTGACCATAGGCAAAGTCCCAAACATGAAGTGGCGTTGCATCAAAGGTGCTGGGCTTGGTCCTCTGGTTCGCCGAGGCGCGAATACCTAATTATCAGGTATTTGGACCGTTGAGGCTACATTTTTTAAATAGAAATATCAATACAGCTATTCTATACATATATATATATATAGCCACGTGGTGTTTGATTTGTCAGGGGTGTGCACGTTCTCCTCGGTCTTTCACACCTTCTGTCAGTCATCTAGTTTGATCCAAACTTGATGAGCCATTCTTGGATCTCCCAAAATGCATGAAAACTTCAAGGCTTGGAGCCTCCCAGGCCCTGAGCCCTAACCTCCCAAAAAAATGGACCCTAAATCCAAAGCTCCTGGCACCCTAAACCCTAACCCTTAGCAACCCTAAACCCTGGCAAGGTTGCAGCCCGAGGTGGAAAGATTCCATGCTCCAGGCGCCAGAGTCAGACACAACAGGAAGACTGCACCGTTTAGAGTTTAGGGTTTAGGGCGCTTTTCAACCCTATGATCTCTCATGAGAGCACTCCATAATCCCCTAATGATCTCTGCCTATCCCTGGGTTTGGCAAGGGTTTCTTTGTTTTGAGAGCCGCCGTGTAAGGCAGGTATCAGACTTAGTCGCCCCAGTTTTTAGTGTCAGAACTAGCAGCCCAAAACAGAAGTATTTCTAGTACTTACATAAACCTATGGTTTCGGCATGCCCATTGTTTCATCCCCCTAAACCCTAAACCCTAAACCCTATTCACCTTAAGTACTCTCCATAACCCCATGCAAAAGAGAAGCACCCGAAGAATCCCTGCCCTGAACCTTCAGCCCTGAGCCGAGGCCCCTCAACCCTGAGCCTAAACCCCTAACCTAAAGTGAAGGGTTTAGGGTTTAGGGTTTAGGCCTAACCTAAAGTGACTTTAATGGGAACCTCAAAAAGGGAACCCCAAGAATATAGTAGGCATAGAATAGAAATATAAGAACCCTGGTAGTAGGAATATAATAGAATATAAGGACCCTGGTAGGTACATTCCTATTATATTCCTACTATGTTCTTGGGGTTCCCTTTTTAAAGTTCCTTTATAACCTTTCAATTCAATTTTATGAATGCTCGGAGCCTGCAGGGCCACCGTGCCTCCCATGAACGCCGAGGATGACGAGGAGCTTATTCCAGAGGCCTAAGAGCAACTAACATGGGCTTGGGCTTGGGGTGTATGACAATTGCATTGCAAATGGGTTGAGAGCTTGCCAAGAACAAGCAACAGTAGCTATTAGGCGATACAGGTAACAGTAGTGGCCACAGGAATGGAACTACCAGTAGTGTCATACTGTGGACGGAGGACATCTTTCAGCGCCTTATATGCTCTCTAGCCTAGGAACTGCAGCATGAAGGGAGTCCCAAGTGGTGCAGGATTTCTGCCATCCAACTTAGGCAGCAATTGGATAGGGGAGCGCCTTGCGATTGTAGAACTGTAGGGCTTCTCATGCAACGGAGGTGCCATGAAGCAACCCTGACGATGCAAGCTCCGACAATTGGCGTGAGCCTCACCACGGAAGCATTGGTTTCAGTAGCCTTCTTCAAACCAACATTGACATGACCCCCTGGTTTTTGCAGAAGCCCTTTTTGGGTTCAATGTTAGTTTGGGGGGATGGAAGGACGTTGTGGTCAGCTTCAAAGCAGGAATGCTGGACTGAGGAATTCGCGAACTGCAAGTGTGGATATGGAGTCCTCAGGCTTCTTCCTGGCTGAGATCAGCAGATCGTAGCTTTGCAAACTTGTTAGCGGCAAGACCCCCATCAACATTTCTTGAGAGCTTCAGAAAAGATAAAAGATATTGTGCTGGTAATTCTGGAGGTTTTGCAAAGCTCGAGAGCTTTTGATGATGAGTATTTGGCATGGGCCTCAAGTCGTGGTCACTTGTTGCTGCCAGAAGGAGGATTCCATTATTGCAAGACTCACTATTGGTGAAAACAGCAGCAGCAACCTTGACCATCAGTGTGTGAAATTTAGCCTTCTCGGATGTGTACATTCTCACTTGGGCCGAAGTATTGTGGAAGTTTGAAGGGCCTGCTGTGGCCTTTAGCAGCCTAGCAGAGGCCAAGTTTCTGCGAAACGAAATATGGCTGCAAACAATTGGGAATCGGAGTTGAAGCTCAGATGCCATGTACAGTAGGCGAAGCCTACTCTTACTCTTGGCCTGTGGCAGCTCTTTGCAAGAGGCTGCTGCCACTTGATCTGTTACATGCCTACAAGTGCGAGGATTCACATGCTTGGCAAGTGCGATGATTCACCTTCTGGGCTTACAGCCCCCCTTAAGTAGATAGAATATGGCTTTGGGTATATTTCAATAAGAACCCCCTTTACCCCATATTCTATCTACTTAAGGGGGACTATAAGTTTCCGCAAGATTTCCTTGTCAGCGGCAGAAACGAACAATCCTCTCACCTATGCATGATGAACATACTCTAGACCTCGCAGCCTTGAGTGCAAGGCTCACTCCTGCGTGGGAGCATGTTGACGGGACATGCTGATAGCATAAAACTGCCATGAGATCATTGCCTGCTAAGCTGTGCATTGGGGCTTTCTCCAAAGGGGGGCTTCTGAGTGATCCTGGCAATGTATGGGGATGACAATAGAATCAACTGGAGTCCTTTTCAACCACCCTACAGAGGTGGTTTTGAGCATATAATCCCCATATAAACCCTAAATAGTAGTTTCCATTTTCTTTTCCATTATCCCAATATATCCCCTATATATTATAGTAGTATAATCCCTATATAATCCCTATATCTTCGATTGAAGTCTTGTGCCTTTTCCCCCGGCAGGTGGTCTGCTTTCCGCATCTCAACAATTGGCATTTGTGGGCTTGGTGCCCATCTGGATCTTCTTGCAAAGAGAGAAAGCTTGATGGTGCTTAAAGGTAAAGAAGGATCCCTGTGTAATCCCCCAAAGTAACCGAGTTTATCATAGCGATTTTCACTCCCCCACTGTGCCTTCAGCACCATTGACAAGAGGGACAACCCAGAAGCAAGGCCATGACAGCTCTTGTTGTCGCCCTCTTCGCGGCCACGTGGTTTGAGGCCGCAAGTAAGATGCTTCTCAGATTTGCGGTGTTGGAATCCGGACCTGAGTTTTAAGAGAAGCTGAGCATGCATTAGGCCGGTTTTTGGTTTTTGCATTTGAGTTGTTTGGGAGGGTTGGCGAGACCTTCTCATAGACCTGCTGGACCCGCTGTTTGCCCTGAGCTCGGCCTGTGTAGTGTTCTTTACTTTGGGTTTCAGAGAAACAGACGATCTACATAAAAGAGGGTAGGGGGATTGAGCCGTATGCAGCACAGGCATTGGCCTACTTTGCCACAGGATCTTGATTTTGAACAGGGGCCACGTTGAAGTTTTGGGTTTCGATGTTCAGCACTAGTCTCATTGTAGTGCTGCAACCTGCTTGGAGTCAGACGCGTGGCGTAAGGCATAGAGATTCAGGAACCCTTGCTCCCCTTCAAGCACGTCTTGCAAGAGACGTAAGCAATGTCCTCTCTCAAGCATATGTATCATCCATGGTCCCCGCAAATGTTCACCTTAGTGCCTCAGTCCTTGCTCAGCTTTGTTTGTCAATGCCAGCTGCTAGTGTAGACAGCTAGTGGAATGTAACACCTGCGTGCGGCCATGAACGTCTTCTCTCCGGGTGATGGCGTGGAGATCCAAAACCTCTCAGCACGGGCCGATCTGAATGGCTGTTTTGCACGCCTGCGTGAGCCTTCGGGGGACCGCTGGGTGGTGGCCCTGGAGGATGGAAGTGCAACCGGCCAGAGGGTCAAGGTTCGAGCCGCAAACCTTCAGCGAAGGCAGGCATCCAGTGCCTGGGGCCAAGAGCTCAACAGGGAGGCCGTAAAGCTGATGAAGGCTGGTGATCTGATGGCTGCCGAGGCTTGTTTGCAAGGAGTTGGACTGCGGCGCATTCCTGCCTGTGTGGTTGAACGCACTTCTTGTGATTTTGGAAGACTTTGAGCAGGACTGTCAGTGATTGTGGGGTTGTTGAGGGGTTCATTACTGACTGCAGAGGTACTCAAGGTTTCAAGGCTTTGGGTGCCCGCAGGATACTTCCCTTCGTGTTCCAAGTGCATCCATGCCCAAAGCATAATGCCGTTCGTTTTCCAAGAGCATACAGTGACCAGAGCATCCATGCCCAAAGCATAATCCGGCTCGTGTTCCAAGAGCATGCGGTGACCAGAGCATCCATGCTCAAAGCATAATTCCGTTCGTGTTCCAAGAGACGGTGACCAGAGCATGCATGCCCAAAGCATAAATCCGTTCGTGTTCCAAGAGCATGCGGTGACAAAGCATCCATGCCCAAAGCATAATTCCGTTCGTGTTCCAAGAGACGGTGACCAGAGCACCCATGCCCAAAGCATAATTCCGTTCGTGTTGCAAGAACATGCAGTGACCAGTGCCCAAAGCATAATTCCGTTTGTGTTCCAAGAGACGGTGACCAGAGCATGCATGCCCAAAGCATAAATCCGTTCGTGTTCTCAGAGCACACAGTGACCAGAGCATCCATGCCCAGAAGCATAATCTCGTCAGCATACGGTGACCAGAGCATCCATGCCCAGAGCATAATGCTGTTGGTGTTCCAAGAGCACACAGTGACCAGAGCATCCATGCCCAAAGTATAATTCCAGTCGTGTTCCAAGAGAGCACACAGTGACCAGAGCATCCATGCCCAAAGCATAATTCCGTTTGTGTTCCAAGAGCATGCGGTGATCAGAGCATCCATGCCCAAAGCATGATTCCGTTCGTGTTCCAAGAACGTTCCAAGAGCACACAGTGACCAGAGCATCCATGCCCAAGGCATAATGCTGTTGGTGTTCCAAGAGCACACGGTGACCAGAGCATCCATGCTCAAAGCATTATTCCGTTCATGTTCAAAGAACATACAGTGACCAGAGCATCTATTCCCAAAGCATAATGCTGTTCGTGTTCCAAGAGCATGCGGTGACTAGAGTTTTCATGCCCAAAGCATAATTCCGTTCGTGTTCGAACAGCACACGGTGTCCAGTGCATCCATGCCCAAAGCATAATTCTGTTCGTGTTTCAAGAGCACACAGTGACCAGAGCATGCCCAAAGCATGATTCCGTTCATCATTTTTACATCATTTTATGTAATTTTATATGCCTATCAATATTTTTCATAATATTTCATTGTTTTTCATTATGTTCTATTGTTTTTCTATCATTTTCATGATGCCCGCCTTTTTTCTGTCCTTCTCATGATAAAACATTGTTCTATATTTTTCATCATTTTCATTATCTTTCATTGTGCCCTATCATTTTCCTATCATTTTCATTATATATATATATAGATACTTCTATTATTTTCATGATTTCGGGATTTTTTCGTGATTTGCATCAGTCTTCACCATTTTTGCTTCAGAATCGCACTCTCGTGTGAGGCGTCCTTCGATTCCAGGCCCCAGTCACAAAAAAACTCAAAGGCACAAAAAAAAAAAAACAAAAACCAAGTACCAAAAGAACATTCCACCGAAAGCATAATTCCGTTCAGAAAACAGAGTGCAGCTTCCCATCTCATACACCTAAACTAGTTGGTGAACCTGAACGGCCAATTTCTGACACAAAATGCATGCTTTTCAGAAATCACACGCCTGCTATGGTTTTGTGCATGTGGAAAGATGCCCATTGCTGTCTCGTACCACGGGTGTGAATGTGCCGCACACCTAGTAGTTTCTTCATGTGCTGCTTGCCTGGATCAGAAGACGATCATATATGAAGGTACGTTTCCTTTGGCGTTTTGAATGTGGATTCGCAACTGAGGAGGAGATTTGGACTCAGCTCTTGGAGATTCTGACGAAAGGTTCAGAGGTAGAGACCCTGAAGTTCATCTACAGCAACTTAATGGTGATATTAGTAAGTGAAATGAGGAAAGATTCACACCAAAAGCTGTCCCCATATGAGTCCTTGTTTCGTAAAGTCCCTATGTCCTACATTTCAGCATTCCCATATTCCCCTACTAACCACAAGTAAGGCAACCGCTCTGCAAGTCGATTGAAGCGTGGTTCAGCTCGAGACGCTTTGGCCGATGCAGAGAAGCTTGGATCACCTCAGGACTCGTAGTCCTCCTCAAGAAGATAGAGGATAGGCCACCCACATCGGGGGATGTGATGTTCATT